CAGATCATCACTCACTATCACAGATCATCACTCACTATCACAGATCATCACTCACTATCAGCCAGATCATCACTCACTATTTGCTAGATCATCACTCATTATCTGCTAGATCATCACTCACTATCAGCCAGATCAACACTCACTATCTGCCAGATCAGCCCTCACTATCTGCTAGATCATCACTCACTATCGCAGATCATCACTCACTATCTGCTAGATCATCACTCACTATCACAGATCATCACTCACTATCGCAGATCATCACTCACTATCAGCCAGATCATCACTCACTATCACAGATCATCACTCACTATCAGCCAGATCATCACTCACTATCAGCCAGATCATCACTCACTATCAGCCAGATCATCACTCACTATCTGCCAGATCATCACTCACTATCAGCCAGATCATCACTCACTATCTGCTAGATCATCACTCACTATCAGCCAGATCATCACTCACTATCACAGATCATCTCGAGGGACGGGACGAAGAACTCATCACAGACGATGGCGATGGCGACGAAGAGATAGATGGTGACGATGATGTGTATGATGACGCCGCCCCCTGCCCTCGTGTCCTGCCCCATCAGGGGGCGAGGGAACTGCTCGATGGCGGGCCGGGGACAAAACTCGCTGGCGTTCCCTGCTCGACAACGCGGGGTACAAGTATAGTATAGTGTAGTGTAGTGTAGTATAGTATAGTAGAGTAGTATAGTATAGTATAGTAGTATAGTATAGTATAGTAGAGTAGTATAGTATCTCCGGCAGGCATTGAAGAATAGGCCTGGATAGGCCTATATCGCCGATTCTTGTATTTTTCTTGTGTACAAACATCATTGGCATTGGGTTTTCAGGTTTCCGTTATCATTGTAGTGTTACAATGGGATCATTATTGGGTACAATAGGATTATTATTGGGTCACAGTAGAATCATTGTCGTATCGCAATATTATCGTGATTGTGTCACAATTAATAGGATCAGAATGCTGCCTTTTAGCCATCTTGGTGCGAGAAGAATCAACTCCATTATGTAGGTTCAAATGTAATACTCGTCAACTAAAGTTTACAGGATTACCAAATGGTTATTTGTTTCCTCGAGAAACACTTGTATAAATATGAAGTGAGGTAATTAATTAAAATTAATTATTAATGATCACCGCACTCACCTTTTGCAGACGGCGATCGGGTGCTGGGATCCGCCCCAGAGGTTGGGTTGACGCCTCGATTTTTTTCCTCCTTAATTGGACCTGCGGTTGAGAACAACAAATATTCCTAATTAACCTCCAGCATTCATGACAGTATTGTTAGGGCCAATGAAGATCATGGCAATGTAAACGTTTACATTAAATAAAACTCACAATTAAGTTCATGAAAGAAATAGTTAGATTCGTGAAACGTCTTCGATCAAAAAGTGAAGATAAAAGAGATATGAGAAAAAGATGCAGTAAAATTTTGCTTTGGAATAGAATTTAAACTGACATGAATGGTTAAATTCATTAACCTTTTTAAAAGCCAAATTCAGTCCTCGACCCACGACATAACTTTCGCCCGCGTTTGCCCTTTTCATTGTTTACACATGAAATGCATAGAAAAATACATATGAATGAAAGGCACGCACACATTATTCAATAGGTTTTAGTTAAATTGGTGCTTGTGAAATTGTTATTCATTGAATGAAGGACAGCAAAGAGATGAATAACGTACCTCGGTTTGCTGATGTTTCAGCTTCGTCTCGAGCTTCTTCGTCGCGGTCTCGTCCTGAGGTCTCCCTCGAGACACGTCTCTTGTGAGCCACTCTCTGACCAAGCCTCGACTGAGTGGCCAGTAAACTTCGGGTCTTAATTAGAGTGGCGGTGGGCAGCCACTCGTCGGAGTTGAGGGACGAAGGGTTGTTGACGTGGAAGACAACGTCGTCCTCGTCGTAGGCGACGATGCCAGGGTTCAGGGGCAGGCCATCGCTCAGGGCCGCGTCGTCGGGCTGCTCTTCGCTGTGCAGGTCCGCGAGACCGGACTCTGGCGAGACACAGAGACACAATGACACCACACACAATGACACGAGACACCATGACGCGAGATACCATGACGCGAGACACAATGACACGAGACACAATGACACGAGACACAATGACACGAGACACATGTTCGACCGAGGGCTGGTTCGACCCACGGCCTAGATACGGACGGCTTGAAGTGTTGAAGGCTACGTTCCGGAAGGCAGGAATCATGATGGTCCATTATATCCAGGGCAGTTGTGGTCATCGGCAGGCGACCCATTCTATTCGTGTATAATCCGCGCTGTCGGATTATTGACAAAATTCTATCACAAGTCAAGGTGTTGCTACTTGCTAGTAAATCAATAGTTTCCTATCGCTTCAGCAGACACTCTAAACTTGTGCGGAACTCCACTTACGACATCTCCGAGCAGGCGTACAGTTACGTTACGTATCTTCCCGCGCAAATGTTTTGATAATACCACCTCTAGAGTTACGTCATCAAGTCAGCACTTACGCCACTCGCAAGTCGATTTTGCGTGCTTACGAAGTTTTGATAATATGGCCCTCTGGAATTTAAATAAGTTCTATATCTTATATAAATTAATATATTTTCTAAAGAGGCCAGATAGTTTGTAGTATTGATTTTAAATAAGTTTCTTTGAGCTCCATTATTTTGTTCCAAGAATTTGTAAGCAGCGACGTTTTTCAACTATGCATTAATCTTTGATTTGAACTCACCATAAGTTGTGGTGTCATCCCGCCTCACGATGCGGGTCATCACACTCATCACGAAGAGGTAAGCCATCGACGCTACGATTACTTTTCCAAGTTTGGATCGTCGGGACTTAAGTCCCAGTCGGGACGCAAGTCCCAGTCTTGGAGGCTCCATCTTTACTGGGACCAGAAGCTCGAGGTCTCGAAAGCTTGGCTTCCAATAAAGCAAAAGCTTGTGGGGAGACAAGGGAACCCCGGGGGGAAATAACCGGGGTGGAAACCGAGTTTGGTTTCCAGAGAAGGTTTGAGAGCGAGAAAAAGTTTTAAAAAAGTAAGAAAGAGAGAAGAAAAGTGGAATAAATAGTTTAGAACTTGAGTGCGATTCTTACGAATGTTGTAACATGAACAGAGGCTGGTGTTGAAGAACTAGTAATATATAAAATATCTGTATGGTTTAAATAGTATTGAAGAGGGCTGAGTGGGTAAGGAATTTAAGCGTAGTTGTTCTTGGAAGAATCAAGATCACAGCACAGAGAAGGAATACTTTATAAGCTGAGGTCATAATACTTCATACTCAGTATATAGTGCACGACTCATGTCAATTGCTGCCCATTAGCAGATCAAGTCACTCAGCACATGAGTGACATATTCTTATTAAAGACTCAAACAATAGGAATGATCTATGTCTTCTAGGTGAATAAGATTTAAAATCGGAAAACCTGTAGTGTTCCTTGGTCTGGTCTGCAAATAAGAAAAACAGGCGTTAGTAGATGTTAGTATACGAGATCATAGATAAATCAAAAAATCATTGTCCTGTATTAGAGATTAAATAAGTCATAGTATTTTAGGAATTAAAGAAAGTGCCATGAAATATTCAACTCGTGTTGTCACAAGCATAAAGCAAATTTTGCTTTGAATAGATCGGAAATTCTTGAGATATCCTTGTCAATTGATAACTTCTACCACAATACTTCATGTGGAATAAATCTAAATTTGAGTTTCGCCTCGAAGATGAAACACTCAGCACGCGCTGAGTCTCGAAGACACTGACGAGCTAAAGGAAAATTTTCTGTGACTAAAAATAAGATTCATAGATTTTTTACTCATTTTTACTTTCATTTTAGTGCGAGAGAATGAATTTTAATTAATACAAGTATTCGAAAGGTTCCTTTCTCTGATACCACATTAATCTTCCTCCAGCGCGAATACTGTTTTAAAACAATCACGAAATTATTTTCAAATCTAATGCATGGTAAGCAGAAAACTCGACAAGTTAAAAAATGTTGTTGGAAATGGTGGATAGTTAAGAATCTGTTATTTTTTATGTGCTCCTCAACGAAATTCATTTCGGGTAAATTTATTCGAAGACTCAAAGTTTCTCAGTACAATTAATTCAGCATTATATTTTGGAAGTCTTTCGGAGTTACATAATTTCAGCATTTTACTTCTATTAAAATTATACTTACACAGCATCTGCCCTGATCAATTGGCCAGATAAACATGCATAATTCCTTGTGTACAGAGGAGCAACATCCAGGAATCTTTTAGATCTATTGAGGGAGCAAATAAGAGAGCGCGTGGTGGGCTTTCTTTGTGTGCGACACAAAAGAAAGAAAACACTCGGTCCTCATAGAGAAGTTTCCTATTGTTGGATGTGGCTGCTGCGGCAGGTTTCAGAACTCAATAGACCATTGACATCTTAACTCTAGCCTTGCCATGTCACCCTTAACTCAATTTGTGCAGCGAGAAATTTTGTATCATAAAATAAATGTCTAAGTTATTTCTTGGTATTAGCAACACGAGACTTGTCCTATCGTGGATAGCTGTTAGTCAATACCCACGCGCTGTTTCCTCTAGTCCATTCTTGGAAAAACTTTGCAATAAATTCTATTCGGCTTATCAAAATAGCTTGCTGTTTCTTGTTATAAAGTTAATGCAAAAATATTTTCGCTGTTGTTTGTATGGAATATCTGTTATCTTGGCCCCGGAATACCAGAACATTAAGTTACGCAACTGCAAATAAAAATTACAGCTAATTACTGGAGCCATTCACTCCGCTCACGTCTGGCGATTATTAAACGCCGTAAATTAATTACGGGCTCGTTATTATAAAAGAAAAAATCCCTAATTGAGATGCACTTAATTGTTTGCGACAGTAATTAAAAAAACCGTTCCGACAGAAAAATTCAACAAAGACTGAACGCCTTTAGTATCAACAATTATAGAAAAACTACAGTTCTGATTCAATGTCACACCCAATACAATAAAACTAAATGTCAAGAAGAAGAATTATTCACAGTAAACTATTCTCCGTTTCGTATGGCAGTCAAAATGTTTGCCTCCTCAAAGTTAAGCTTTTTGGTCGTTGAAGTTCAAAAGTTTGTTTTGCCATTTCATTGCCAGCAACTACCATCCGCCAGCAGTCGAGTCCAGCCGAGCGGAAAGCTCCCAATCATTGTCCAAGTTCCTAAAGCCTTAAATTTCTTGCTCAAGTTACGCATCCTTGGAGTCCTGCAGCGCCAGACTTGCCAGGAGGATCAGGCGTTGCAGCGATGATGACTTCGGCTTGAGCTGAAGTTTGATGGAAAACGTGCGAGCTGCGGTGCCACTTGGTATGGGAGCCACAGAGCCACTTCAATGAAGCCAGACAAGCCACAGTGCTCTTGAATGAAGCCAGGCAAGCAACAGAGCCACTTGTATATGAAGCCACACAAACCACTTGATGGAAGCCAGGCAAAGCAACAGTGCCTCTTGAATGAAGCCAGACAAGCCACAGAGCCACTTGAAATAAGCCAGACAAGCCACTTGATGGAAGCAAGGCAAGCCACAGTGCCACTTTAATGTAGCCAGACAAACCACTGTGCCACTTGGATGAAGTGAGACAAGCCAAAATACCACTTGAATGAAGCTAGACAAGCCACAGAGCCACTTGAATGAAGCCACGCAATGCGAAATTCACTACGATTCTTACGCCTAGAATTGAAACTGTCTTTGTGTTTTGTGTATCTATACAAACGTGGATAGCAGGAAAAAATGCAAGATTAAAATCAGCGTGGCAAAAGGATCCAAGCGTTAGAGGAGAGCGGATCGCTAATTTGTGCTCGCGATGCGCTTCCTGTCGCAAGTACGTAAATTGCATATAATACACCTGAATTTTAACTCATTTACTTACTGAATTATCTACAAGAATCGGGGTGTCCCTGAGAATAGATATTACTAAAGTAAAATGTACTTCGTGCAATAGAAGCAAGAGCCTGTATGTTGTTTCAAACAATATCATCTAAAAATTTAAAAGCAAAGAATAGTCCACAAAGTCATATCTTTATAGAAAACGTTTCGGAGTCCAGCTCCATCGTCAGATAGTAGAATCTAAAATTTACAAGTAATAGGGCACAAAAAACCTAGCTATTCACAATTTCAAGGGGATAGGAGCTAACAGCTGAATTTAAACTGGGCCTAAGTTTAAATAATATACGTTTAAAAATTACTTTTTAAAGACAACACTTCCAAAGAATCCAGTATCTCCAATCTTACAGATGTTTTCACACAAGTGTGCAAAATTTCAGATCAATTAGACAGGTAAAAGTGTGTCAAATATCAGTTATAAGATTTGTAGCTGACAAAATTATTTTTTCAATTTTTTTAATATTGAAAAAAAATTTTTTTTTACTTTTCTAAATGATTTATTTTGACATTTGATTCATGCATTGTCTCCAACTTTCCACAAGTGTGCAAAATTTCAGATCGATAGGATAAGTAGAAGTGTATTAAATTTCGATTACAAGATTTGTAGCAGACAGACAGACAGACAAACAGACAAGAAGTGAAGTTAAAGAGAAGTGTTGTAAAATGTACAATGATTCAAAAAACGCAAATTTGGAGTACCGGAGGTGGAAGCTAACACCCTAAAGTCACTGTCAGAAACAGGGACATCGCACTGCTCGGCGTGAGTGCGCACAGCCGAATAATCAAGGGGGGCGCGATAGCAACTGTCTGGTCCTACAACTCCTGCCCTTATGCTCCGCGACCCTGGAATAAAGATTGCGTTACGTCATCCCGACGTACGCAGATGCACATCGTGCACAACGAAATTGATAAACCAGGGACGATCGCATATGAACAGGGAGATCGCATATGAACAGGGTTTAGGCATGGGACTACCGCTTTGCCCAACCTTTTTAAATATTTTTATGTGTTTCCAGGAGGTTTCTTGGCTGGCCAATTGTCCTCTTGATTGATTTTAAGCCAATATTCTATAACAGATACGTCGATGACACCTTTTTAATTTTCAAACATCCCTCCCATGTCAAACCATTCTTTGATTACCTAAACTCGCAACATAATTATTCATCACATTTACCATGGAGCTTGAATCTAACATTAGTTTGTCCTTCCTCGATTGCAATATTACAAAATCTAATGGCCGTTTTTTGACTTCTGTGTTCCGAAAACCGACAGTCACTGGTCTAAATACCAGTTTCTTTAATTTTTGTTCATTCCGGTTCAAGTTAAATGGGCTTCAAACATTATTATACAGAGGTTTTCGCATTTGTTCAGCATACCATGCCATGCACGCGGAATTTGAATTTATACGAAATATTTTGTCGCTTAATGGATTTTCGTTGCGGAACGTTATGTATTGTTCTTTTCCATACTTCGGCCCTGCGTCCGAAGCTATGTCAAGAGAGTTAAAAGTCTTGTTCGATAGATACTTTCCAAACGTCAAACTTCATATTGTCCTGGTCAACAGTTTCAAAATAGGTTCTTTCTTTAGATATAAAGGAATACTCCCTGTTCACATGCGATCGTCCCTGGTTTATCAATTTCGTTGTGCACGATGTGCATCTGCGTACGTCGGGATGACGTCACGCAATCTTTATTCCAGGGGCGCGGAGCATAAGGGCAGGAGTTGTAGGACCGGACAGTTGCTATCGCGCCCCCCTCGATCATTCGGCTGTGCGCACTCACGCCGAGCAGTGTGATGTGCCTGTTTTTGACAGTGACTTTAGGCTGCTAGCTTCCACCTCCGGAACTTCAGATTTGCGTATTTTAGAATTATTGTACATTTTTAAACTTAGTCCCAGTTTAAATTCAGCTGTTAGCTCCTATCCCCTTGAAATTGTGAAAAGATAGGTTTTTTGTGCCCTATTACTCGTAAATTTAGGTTTTTAATTGTGTTCTGTGCTTTCAATTGTACTAATTTGTGACTTCTATGTAAATTCTGGATTCTACGAACTGACGATGGAGCTGGACTCCAAAACGTTTTCTATAAACATATGAATTCTTGTGGACTATTCTTTGCTTTTAAATTTTTAGTTAACTTGCGATTTAAGCAAATAAGTGACATCAATTCTTTAAAACAATATTATGAGGAAGCATTGACACAGTCAAACACATTATGTGGCGTAACATATGTCGAAAGTGCCTGTATTAAAAAATACCGATAACTGAACTGAAATTCACTTGTATCCAAACGTAACAGAAATTTCATTGAATCAATCGACATTGTTGTTGTTTCAATCTCAGAAGACTGATTGACGAGCGGATTTGTAAACTCCAAAGCCACGCAGGACCATGCAAATCTGATCTATCATGTTCGATGAGATGGCTTAAGTTTTATCCTGAAGAACCAGAGCTCTTCAGCCTATATAGGCTCCCTCCAGGGCTTTGCATTTAGGCTCGCAATTCCCCTATCGTGGAAACATAGTTTTTCATACAAGAAACGAAGAAATAAATCGCTC